CACTGTACTTTAGTTGTTTGTCGATCTGATTTAGTTTTGTCATCAGGTCGCCAAGCTCAAGAGTAGCTGTTTCATGATCAGCCGTTGTCTTGTTTTCGGCTGTCGCTTCCGTTTTGGCTTGTTCTTCCTTTAGGTCAGATTCTGTGGTCTTCGCGCTCACTGTCCCAAATGTTCGTGCTCTTTCAGTTTTTGATTCTTCGGCCGTGTTGTCCTTCGATTTCATTCCAACCATCATCGCCAACTTTTCTGTAAAAGATGTTTTCTTTACTTGAGAGTCGTCTTTCACCGTTTCTCGGGTATTGCCTGTTGTGTCTTCCAACGCGTCTATCGGCGAAAACTCCACGGTTTTTGGATTTTGATCTTCCATATGGGGCATCGGTGTGGATTCCGTGGTCTTCTTCTCCACTTCATCTACGCTCTGGTCTGGTGTCTCTAGATCAATTTCAATTGTGGGCTCCACCTGTTTGTCTTTAGCACCTTCTCGCGCCTTGTTCTCGGTACTACTCCTCGTGCTGACCATGCTAACTGAAAAGTTATCTTTCGTTTTGCCTGGGCCCATTGATGTCGTTCCGCGCAGCGACGAGTTATATTTCGTGTTTGATCCGCTTGACCTTTTTTCGAGCACCGGTACCCTACTCCGTCTCATTATTTCTATTTACAATTGCTCTTATTTACAATTTTATTATATACACAATCCTATTCTACGAATAAAATCTTTTGTGGAAAAGAATTCTTAAAAGGAAATATACAACGTGATAAAAACCTTTCTTGAAACTTTCTTTATTTGTGGTCTCAACCGTACCGGGTTCCGACTAGTGTTGTTCTGTTTTAAATCTGTCTCAAAGCACTGATTGTAACTTTACTTCAATTTTTATACCGTCCTAAGACTTCCAGTTACCGTCCCTACTCTTCTTTGTACCGTCCCAGGTTTTTTCCCACTGTCCCAAGACTGTTCGGTACTGTCCCAGTACTTTCCGTCAGTGTCCCAAGACCCTTGTCCCAGGACCACTGTCCCAAGGATGTCCCAAGAGTACTGCCCCAAGGTCAGTGTCCCAAGGCTAGTGTCCCAAGACCACTGTCCCAAGACTACTGCCCCAAGGCTAGTGTCCCAAGACTACTGTCCCAAGGCTAGTGTCCCAAGGCTAGTGTCCCAAGGCCAGTGTCCCAAGACCACTGTCCCAAGACTACTGTCCCAAGGCTAGTGTCCCAAGACTACTGTCCCAAGACCACTGTCCCAAGGCTAGTGTCCCAAGACTACTGTCCCAAGGCTAGTGTCCCAAGGCTAGTGTCCCAAGACCACTGTCCCAAGGCTAGTGTCCCAAGACTACTGTCCCAAGACCAGTGTCCCAAGACCACTGTCCCAAGACTACTGTCCCAAGGTTAGTGTCCCAAGACTACTGTCCCAAGACCACTGTCCCAAGGCTAGTGTCCCAAGACTACTGTCCCAAGGCTAGTGTCCCAAGGCTAGTGTCCCAAGACCACTGTCCCAAGACCACTGTCCCAAGACCACTGTCCCAAGACCACTGTCCCAAGACCACTGTCCCAAGGCTAGTGTCCCAAGACCACTGTCCCAAGACTGCTCTGGTCCAGGACTGCACTGTCCCAAGACTGTTGACAAGTGTCTGAGCGGTGGGACCTCTTTCTTCCTCGTTATGGGGACTTCTTGATTCACTGTACCTTGTACCACCACTCAAGCTCTAGTAAAAATTTTCCCAAAAACCCTCTCTTAGTGGCCAAATGCTGACCCCCCTTTTTTAGTTACCTCTTTTTCAATGTTCCAAGCAACTTGAAACCAAAACCTGTGCGCAGGTATCTTGTGATCACCTGTTCGTATAAAAGCCAAACACAAATCTTTACCAAAATGCAACAAAATCTAAGCAAGAAAAAGTAATAAAAACAGAAAGATGAATCCACCTAAAATTCAAAGGTGACAAATGTCTACCTTCTATCGAAAAAATGTCTGGTACCTAATTGCCACGCGTTTCCTTCCCCCCTGCTAGCGATCTTATGGGGTATCACAAAAACTGTCTATGTCCGTTCCCCCCTACCGATCCGACCAGGGTACCTACCTTAACCTAATTCCAATTTTGGATATCCGCTTCCTATGACCAACGCGTGTAAATGACTAATGTAACTAAATCAACGATGTCGACTAATTAGTTACTCTAATTTCCCCCCTTTTTACAATTTACAACCGCCAACCTCTAACCTAACCAGCCCCCCTTCTAACCTCCCCCTTTTTAGCCCCCCTTCTTAAGCCTAAAATTACCTTAAGCGCCGGGTGCTAAACCTCTCAAGAGAAAGCCGTAGACCTGTCTCCAGGCCTGCTCAAGTAAAAACGTTCCTCAAAACCGTGGGATATCGCTTATCCAATTTTACACTTATTTCCTATAATGTAATGTGAATTTTAACGATACCCGTTCTACCCAACTTGAGAACTCGAGAACTGCCAAATCCTTCTTGGCTACTTTCCCACTCGACTGGTCACCTCTTCCAGTCCAGTCTCCTATTGGTTCAGCTCAAGTGCTCCTGAACCACTTTCCCACTCGGCTGGTCACCTCTTCCAGTCAAGTCTCCTATTGGTTCAGCTCAAGTGCTCCTGAACCACTTTCCCACTCGGCTGGTCACCTCTTCCAGTCAAGTCTCCTATTGGTTCAGCTCAAGTGCTCCTGAACCACTTTCCCACTCGGCTGGTCACCTCTTCCAGTCAAGTCTCCTTGTTGTCCAGCTAAGTTCCAAGCTATCTAAAAACCCTTGACAACGCCCCACACTCGGGCACTTTATTGAGGTTACTGGGTCAAATTGCTAGGTTGATCGAAACCTTCGAACTTGTAAAACAGTATGGGTATACTATTTAATTAATATAAAGGTTTGATCCAACTGATCTGGTGTCAAAGTCACTGTCTTTTTTCGTTTTATGGTTTTTGTTCCTTTTTCTATTCTTTTTTGGTTTTTGTTTTGCTTTTTGTCTTTTTGCTCGTGTTTTTGTCCCCCTAGTTGCGCCCCTTTACTCGGTTAGCTAAGCCTCGTTCGGAGAGCGTACCAGAAAGTTTTCTCGAGTTTTCTTAAAAAGCTATCACGGTACAACCAGAAGGTTTGCACGTTCCTGTCGAACCGCACCGCCGGTACTCTAGAATGGGCATTCAGCCCGAAGCTGTCTCAAGTGGGTTCGACTCCGTAGTCTTGATGTCGTAAACACCCAGGAGCGCCATAAAAACACTGTGTAACATTCGTCTACTGTAGTCACACATGAGGCTTAAGAAAAATAGGCCCTATAACCATTGGCTCAAGAGTCAGGGACACTATCTCTTGTGTTTTTCTACCTCAAATCAGTCGGAGCCAAATCGGTTCGCTTGTGACATGAGACTACGACCCGTTACAGCTTAAAGGCTACTACCAAAATATCCCCCCACTCTAGAAATAATAACGTCCCCATACTTAGGTCTCTAGATACCCAAAATACATGAACGCCGTTAAAAACCGGGTCGGAACAATCCGTTAAGTTACTTTTTATTAGACAGTGGAACTTTGATCCATTTCAGATGGATCAACCTAAAACTCGCCTTACCTCAACATAACAATTATAAAACACGCTCTAGAAATTTAAATTGGTACTCACATTGTAGCACGCTCAAGAATTGGGAGTAATTAAGTCGGTAAGCAACTCAAGAATTAAATAGTGTAACTAAATGAGTTTAATGTTTGCCAGTTTCAACAACAGGAATAAGTTTGTACTCTAGAATGCAGTTTTATGTGGACCATTGGGACACTCAAGCTGTCCACCTTTCCACCGAAGGTTCACTCTGGTCCAGTTCGAATGTTTGACCAGTTGGATAATTATCCAGTTCTCAGGAACACTCTGTCTTCTATTTCAAATAGGACAGCTCTACTCTAGATTATTATTGTCTCGGAAATTGCGAATGGCAATTTCCTACTGATTTATCTTGCAACTTTCCCGCGATTGTCACTCGATTGTTCTCACTTCTCTTTTTTGACTTTCAGTTATCGCGAGAAAATCGTGCATGACAGGCTCCATTCGAATTTTTGAAAAATTAAATTTCACTCCAAAATCAAGTGTTTTTTGCTTCTCTCAAGGTCAAACTTCAAAATATGACCGACTGGCACAGTTCTTTATTATTATCTCGGAAATTGCGAATAGCAATTTCCCGCTGTTTTTCTGTCACTTTTTCGCTATTGTCCAATTCGATTGTTCTGATTTTTTTAAATTATGTTTTCAGTTGTCGCGAGAAAACTGAGCATGACAGGCTCCATTCGAATTTTTGAAAAATTAAATTCCACTCCAAAACCACATATCTCGTGTTCCTCAAGGTCAAACTTCCAAATATGACCGACTGGCACATAGTAATGTAAACTTATTTTCACTTAGTTTCATTAATGTCTGATATACACTTGCACATTTGAAACTAATTTTGTTTTGCAATTTAATTGTTTTTTTTTTCATTGACTGGTTGTAGAAAAAAAAAATTGACCGCTTGTTTTTCCGAAATAAGATTAGATGAACGTAGTTCAGGTTCTCATATAGATCGTGATGGTGTTTTCAACTCTACCACTTTTTAACTATTTTGTAGATTTGTATTTTTTTGATCAGTCGTGTCGGCTAGCCCATTTTTTTTGATCGGACTTAACTTATCATGGATAACTTCATTTAAGGAAAAACAGTAACTCCATTTGTCATTTTTTACATCCTATGCATTTAGCGACTCAGTTGTTGCTTTTTTTGCAAGAGTTATTTATAAGGTTAGAAGTTCAATCGGTTTCTAGTTTAAAAAGTGGTATTTCCCGCACAAAGCTGTTCTTACTTTGATTGTACTATAATAAGGAAATCAAACTCCCTTGGTTATCTGCCTCAAAGTCGTTGTTAGATTATGATAATTGTTTTTTATTTTCCTTATTGTTTTTAATCTCCAGCAGTTTTATACCTTTTCAGACTAAATCTGTTGTTGCTGAGCGTTGTTTTTGAGCCAAGCAGTATTTTTATAATGTCGGTTACTATGAGAAGTTCTACTCGAAAGTTGCCACCTACCCAATTCGAGCCCGGAAAGAATCAGAAGTACATTGTGGAAGGTGTGCACGGGTTAGAAAGGCACGGAAAGGGAAAACAGTCCAAATTGTGGGTTCTCGTCAAATGGGAGGGCGGAAAAGAGATGAACTGGGTCGAGCACTCGCGATTGGACTGTGATGATTTAATAGCTGAGTATGTTGCAATGCAGTATCTCTTATACTTGCAAGAAAATAAGAGCAGTAAAACCGGAATGAAGAATGTTTCGAATGAGGATGACTGGGCTGGTGACGAGACCAATCCGTTTGAGTTTGGAGCTGAGTATGGTTTTGACCGTTGTCTTTCTGTTGCGAGAATCATAGGAGCTACAGAAGTTGAAGGCAGAGGCGCGTTTTTCCTTGTTAAATGGAACACCCCTGATGAAAGAATATTGTTAGATGTCGTATCTAGAGACGAGGCAAATAAACAAATACCCCAGAATGTGATCAAATTCTACCAAGAAAGGATTCAATGGAATCGAATGGTGTTTTCCGACTCGGAAGACGAGTAGGCTACGGATTTCCATAATGAAAAAATTGTTCGCTCTGTTTGAGATAGTTTTACAGTTCCTGATAATTTTAATCCTTTGAATTTTGTGAAGCTGAACCAACTTTCATTCTTATTATTTTTCATTTTTTACTATTTAATTTTTTTTCTGCCGATGTGTTTTCAATTAAAATTAATGGCTTTGTTCGGATTAAAGTTTTTCGGTTTGTTCTGCATAACTTCATAAAACCTACGAAAAAAACGCTTCAAAAATGGAGCGCCGATTTTTTTTTCCTATTGACAGAACAGGATAAATTTTAGATACTTTGAAAAAATATTTATTTGGGCCCTATCGAAATGTGTGATAATAGATAATCTACTTTTCATGAGCGGTTTTTATCGCAAATGGCAATTTATTGTGTATTAGTGAAACAAACTTAAATTTTTCGCGTGCTTTAGATTTTTCGCTCTCGAAATGAGGCTTACAAAGCTGACTAGTTTCCAAAAAACCACGACCAGCTTCAAACAATTTTCACTGTGGACGGTATAATAGGCCAAGAAGAGTTTCTTTGGAATTTTCAAGTTAAAATTAATGAAATCAGTTATAGCATCAGACAAGTGGCAGAACAGCGGCTTAGCGACTTATTTTAACACCGATAAGCGACTTATTTTAACACCGATAAGCGACTTAGCAGTATCAATTAAAATTGCTAAATCCCTGCCCATGCAGTTCAGTTGTAAGTTGGCAGAACAATTGCAGTTATCCAAAGAGCACCTTGGTCAAAAAATTCTTGAAAAGTCAAACCGAGTTTGAATGCAGATTTCATTCGTGGAGTTGCAAGTCTTCTAGTCTTATAATTAATATTGGTCTTGATGATTATTATTTTTTTTTCAGGAATTGTTTTATAATTAATCACCCTCGAGACAAAAACTGTTGGTTCGATAATCCATTGCTAATTTTTTTGGATTCACCTTAAACAAGGTTGTTAATACTGAATTCTGCCTCATTTAATGGGAGAAATTTCAACGTCCAATTTTTAAAATTATTTTATTAAGTGTAGATGAACGTAGTTCAGACTCTTCTAGGCCGTGGTGACTTTTTTTTTCGTTTTTTTTTGTTTGCTTTTAGTTCAGTGAGTTTCCTTGTTAAAGGGAACACAAACTCCACTATCGAACAGCAAAAGTGAAAAGGTCACAAAAAATATGATCGACTTCTAGTTTCGAAAGGGGAATTTAATTATCGAATTTTGAAACGAACAAAATTCAACTTTTGATCCAGTTTTCTCAAATTAAGCTAATTTATCAAAAATGTATCAATCACAAATTGTTCTTCAACTTCGAAGAGCTTTAAAGCCGTCCATTTTTTTGAAGTACTTTTTTTCTGTTTACTTGCCTTCTTTGACTCTTTTCCTACTGTTTGTTGGCTATGTTTAATTTTCTCGCTGTTTTTGCTGTGACGTGGAGTTCAGGTGGGTATTTTTAAATCCAAGAAAAAAATTTTGGAGCTCTATTTTGAAAAAAAAATATCATGAGTAATGTCAGAATTTTGCACAGCGGTCATGGAAAAAGCGCATGGCAATCCTGTTATAAAGTGTTTGTTTTAATCCAACGTTTTTGTTTTTAACCGTTTGTAATCAACAAAGAAGTTGTTTTTTTTTTTTAAAAAGTTGTTTTTAAGATCAATACAAGAACATGCACGTCACATGCACGAAGATTAAAAAAAATTCATTGCAGAAATTCGCTGAGTTATCTGGTAAACAAGGATTTGGAGTTTGAATTGCTGCTTTAGCTATCATGGGCCCTCTTTTTCATTCGAAATTACAGGTTTCCGTGATCATTTTTTATTCTTCTGATCTTATTTGATTGCTACAGATTGCAAAATGAATGACGACCCGCTAGAAGATATACCAGTGCGAGATGTGAATGGGATAGGTCAGATGGACCCGAAGCAGAAGCGAATCGTTGAAAAATGGTCACGTGAAGATATCGAGGACAATTATTTGCAAATATACTCTGAAAATATTCTTCTGAAACAGCATGGAAGAAAACAAGAGGAAAAGATTAAAAAGTTGACTACTAAAATGCAAAAATTGTTCAACGACAATAAAAAACTGCTCAAATCTGGCGGAGCTGCTGTTGGAATGACCAAGCGCGACGTGGAGCTGACAGAGAAAATAGAAGATCAGAATATGAAGATTTTGGAACTGCAAAAGGAAAACAATATGCTGAAAGATAAATTAGCTGTCGCAAAACAACAGCTGGCGGCCCAAAATAAACGTCCGGCGAACAGCACCTACAATTATATCGGACATCGAATCGATACCGGGAGAGGCGTTAGAGGTGACACGGCGCGAACTCCCAGGAATAACTGCGCGAAAATGGAAGCCTTACCGAGGTATGGTCACAGTTTACTGGAGGAGGCCCGCGATGAAAATGCGAAGCTGAACGAAGCTCTAGTTGAGATGGAAGAGCGGCTACAGGAAGCAGAAAGGGAATCAGACCATCTGAAAGATCAATTGAGACAGCAGCATATGGATCGAAATGAGGGTATTGTGAAGTACAAGGAGACGGTTAACAATGATTTCAAGTCAGGAATCCAAGAGAATGTCGAAATCATCAAGCTGCAGCGCGAAATCAGGGAGAAGTCAACCAAGTTCACCTCGCTGCAATTGCAGTATCAGACACTTGAAGAGAACTTGAGGTCGGTAAAAGGAACGAATCAAAGTCTGCTTGCAGAGCTTGAAAAGTTGAACAAAGATCTGCGGGAGGAAAATGCCCGCTATGTTGAGTTGCAAAGCAAGATGCGGGATGATTTACAGCGAGAAAAGGTTGTCCTTGAGATGCAACACAGAATTCAACTGTTGGAACAGGAATGCCACATTTTGAAATCCAATAACGAGAGCTTAATGAAGTCAGCTTTGGATACGGAACGAGATTCGGCGTCGCTGGAAAAGGAGCGAGAGCTGAGGTTAGAAATCGCCAAACTTCAAGCTGCGATGAAGGGAGATCTATCCGACAAAGGAGAAGTGTTGGACAAGTATCACGCGGAATCAGAAGCCCATGAGAAATTGAAAACTGAGATGCGACAGCTGCAGATCGAGTATTACACTGTGAAGCAGCAGTATGAATCAGCTCAGGAGAAAATCAAGTTCTTCACCACACAAAGTGGAACAGATTTCAACGAATTGGAAGAAGCGTTGGTGTTGCTAAGGTCAAGAAAAGACAAACCAAGTGATAAGCCAGACTTCGTTGAGAGTACGGAGGAGGAGCCGAGTCAAAGCAAAGTTCTGGACCTGGAAGCGCAGTTGGCGGACACGGTCGCTGAATTAGAGAAGGCGAGGAACATGCTTCTGCAGCAGTACAACATCAACAAAGTGTACAAAAAGGAAGTGGACACTTCGACGCAAAGAGTTGAAGAGTACAAGAAGGAGTTTGAAGCGAGAGCCGAGGAGTATGCAAGACTGCTAGACATCCGACAAGCGAGAATCAAAAAGCTGGAGGCACAGCTTAAGGACGTAGCGTACGGAACAAAGTCTTTCAAGATACGCGCAGAGCCAGGAATTGAGGGAGACGATGATGATGCAGAGGTTCTCGGCCAAGAAACACTCGAAATCGAACGTGGAAAAAATATCTTTGAAATTCACATTGACCGCGTTGCTCTTTCGGAAGATGCGCAGAAGTTGCTCAGAGACAGTCAGCCTTCTATGTTCATGACTTACGGATTCCACGAGTTCGAGATTCAGACAACTCCTGTGGCCAAAGGACCAGTAGCGGTGTTCAAGTTCACGTCTCAGTTCAAAGTCGATATGGACGATATGTTCTTGGCCTACTTGATGAAAAACTCAAGCGCCTTTGAGTTACACCAGGCAATCGGAACAGACTTTAGGACTCTAGCATCGACTAAACTGTGCTTCCGAGATATATTTGACAACCCGCAAGGAAGAATGTACGCCTCCGCACCCCTTGTAGGCAATTCGCGTGACGGCGTCGAGGTGTTTGGAACGCTCGAATACAGTATTCGCTTTGTTGTTCCCGTCGAACAAGCGTTGAGATTGTACTCCGAACGAGTGAAGGCCATGGGCTATTCTAAAATTAACGCCCAGGTAGACAACGAAGCTCTTAAAGTGCTAGAGCGTGAGCGCGAGGTGGAGCCGGGATCGAACTACTTGTATGTCAAGATTGAAAAATGTTCTGATTTGAACTCTCGCTTGCCGGATCGTCAGCCGTCGCCGTACGTTGTGTACAAGTTCTTCGACTTTGACGACTACGACACGCCCGTCGTGGAGAACAGTTGTCATCCACAGTTCTCGGACAACAAGTCGTTCAAGGTCAATATGTCAGATAGTCTGGACAATTACCTGAAGGCTAGTGAGCTGGAGCTGTACGTGTTTGACGATTCTCAGCAAAGCAGTGATCTGTCGTTTCTTGGCATTGCGAAGGTGCCGTTGACTGAACTAGCTCACAACAGAGCAATTCATGGACCCTACGAGATCAGATTACCAGATGGAAAGACAAATGGGTCAATATCTGTGAATCTCAAGTGGTTCTCAGATTACAAGAGCGAATCTGTTGTAAGAGGCGAAGCAATGCGCTTGATTGCTGAAAGGGAGAATGAGGAAAAGGAACTGAAAGAGCTGAATGATCAGAAGAACAAAAGAGTTCTCTCAACGAATGAGTTCCAAGAGATAGAAAAAGAACCGAAGCGAGTTATCAACAGAATTGAAGAGGAACCAATCAGAGCACCCAAGTCGAGCATTGATACCAAGAGTGAGCTGATAGTAAAACATGAGCCCCAAAAACCGAAAATAGTCCAAGCTGAAGAGGAGCCTCAACCGTCAACATCTACGCGAGGTTCCCCGAAAAAGGTGGGTTTCTCGATTGATTCAGAGCCAGACGTGCCAGTGAATAAAGAAGTGGAAGATATACCTGTACACGAGATAAAGGTAGATAATTCAGAGAAAATCACGGCTCAACAAGAGGCACCAACAGCAAAACCAAGAAGAGCAACTCTGAAACCGAAAGAAAAAGAGCCGGGAGAGACACAAGAGCCAGGTCAGCGTGAGGACCAATCAAAACCCGAGGATGACTCGATTACAGAAGAAAATCGAAAGGATTTCGAGCCAGCTCAACCAGATGAAATTTTGGAATCAGGCGGAGAAAGCACAGACTCAGAGATGTTTGTAAACACGAAGACTATGAAATCGTTCTTAGCGAGCTCGGTTGAAGACCCGAATCTGATATCAATTGTGGTGCACAGCGTTGCTTTGGAATCAAATTGCAAGGCGTTGAAAGACCCTAATCTTGTATCACTTTTTGTGAGCTACAAATTCTTGGACATTCCACTGGAATTCACTGAGACGCCGACATCTTTAGAGATCCCATCGGTGGCTGAAAAAGACATTGAGTTCAACTTCCAGAAGTTGTTTTTTGTGTCGGCGTTGAACAATGGCAAGTCTAGGGAGGCTTTAAAGGAAATGTTGCTGGCGAGGCCAAATGACAACGCCGGCAAAATCAAGTGAGTTTTCTGATTATATTCATCAACTGGTCTAATTACCCTTGCGATAAGCAAGGGTATTGCAATCGGGTGCTAGACTTTTTTCCCTCAAACAAACTTGTCTTGAGGACTCATATCTAGTGGTACGTTCTGAGGCCCACCTCAATTTCTTATCTTTCCCGGCCCACTACGCTTGGAGGTTTGCCTGATACGGCAGAAATTTGCCTGATACGGCAAAGGTACTGGTCTCGAATCTGACCATTATTTGGCTGCTCATGTTTGGTCGGCCTAGTTGCCTTATCGTAGAATTGGTTTTTCTTGCTATGCTCAATTTACATTGTAGTTGCTCTTAGTGTTTTGATTTACTTCTGCTGTTTGAGTTTTCTTGACTTGTATATTGTCTTTGGTTTTTTTTTGCTTATTTTTTTTGTCCAAACGATTTCGACTGATTTTTTATTGGCTTAGTGACCTAATTATGAGTCGTTTTAAATGGTATGTAGTTTTTATGCTCACCTCTGGATCGCACCTTTTGCTAAAAGCTTAATTGAAATTATAGTTCAAGTTTTTCATGACAGATTTTTTCGGCGTTTTTGTTTTTTTCTCAATTGGTTTCGGCCTATTATCATATCGTCTTAATGGCCTCCTGTTGAGTCTGTCGACCAGCGAAAAAAAATTGTGCATGCCTGGGTGTTTTGAGGCTGAGGGGAACTTAATAGTTTTTTATTATTCTTAAAATTTTTTGAATTTGTTTTCGGAATTTATTTTCGCCTTATTTATTTTCTTTTTTTTTGTCTTAATTGGTTTCAGATTTTTTTAATATAAGCTTAGTAGCCTCATATTGGTTCATTTGTTGTTTGTTGTTGTTGAGGGCGAGGGAGACTTGTTTATTATTTATAAGTCTCGTTGATTTTTTTTTCGGTTTACAGGGTTTCTGCTAAGGTATTTTTTCTGCTTTTTTACCGCTTGGTAAATTTTCTTCCGATGCTAATTTCCACATTCTAATGCCTTGTTACCCTTGCAATAAGCTAGGGTATTGCAACCGTGCACTAGACTTTTTTCCCGTAAAAAACTTTGTTCACAGGACTCATCTGGACGTCTGGACTCATCGCTACCTTGTTTCAATGTTTCATAATGTATTCAAATTTCTTACTGTTCCTGGCCAACTTAGCCTGGAGGTAACGAATATGCGTGAGACGGCAAAGTGCCTGGGTTGGAATCTGACCAGGACCTGTTTTTTTTCAAACTGGAAATTTGTTTCAAATAAAATTGTCGGCCAATTATATGTCTGCCTATCTGTTGTCGGCTTAGTGTCACATCTTGGAATTATTTTGTTGTCTGTACGTATTTTTCTATAAGGTTGTTTTTAATGTTTGATTTACGCATGCCTACATTTTGTAATTTTATTTACCTTGACTTCGTTTTTATTTCCTTTTGTTTTGTTTGGCTAAAAAAGTTCATCGGCCATTATTTTTTATCGGCTCAATGACCTAATTTTTGGCCGCTTCAAGCTAAACAAAATTTTAGCACTCCCCTCCACCCTTTTCAACTTGGTTGTTATTTTACCAATCGGTTATTTTTTTTTGTTTTTGAAAAATTTTTCACTTATTGCAAAGTTTTTAGTTTTTCTCAAACTTCTCATGATTTTCAGAAAAGGGGTATCAGTTCAAATACCGCTTACTCCTCTGTGTGCCTGCGTACTCCCCTCGAGTAATTTTTACTTGACCCCTCTGTCTACAGCCTTTGAAAAAGTATCTCGAATATTTGAACCAAATTTTTGATTTTTTTTTCATTTTCTCGAAAACTACCCCTTTCAAATATGAGTTTGTGGTTTCTATGAATTGAACTGTTTTGAAAAGCTCCTCTGCATAAGTGGCTACGACCGAATTTTTCTTGCCAATAAAGTTATGGCCCTCGGAATAGTCAAACTTTTGATTTTTGACCGTTTTTTGAATCTTTTCATTTTTGTCTCGAAAACTGAACTCAAATCTGATATTGTGGGTTCAATGAAATAACGGTTAATGAGAAGCTCCTCTGCATTAGCTGACACTAACTAAAAGTTTTCCACAAGAAGTTATCGTTCTCTGAAAAGTCAGATTTTTGATTTTTTGATAGTTTTAACTTTTGAAAATTCTTGAAAACTACCCTGTCTTACCTGAGGTTTTGGGTTCAATTCGCAGAACGGGTATCGAGAAGCTCATTTGCTTATGCTACTACGACCAAATTTTTTGACTCCAAAAGTTTTGCCTCTCGAAATATGTTTTCCCTTTCAAATATGAGTTTGTGGTTTCTATGAATTGAACTGTTTTGAACTGTTGACCGAATTTTTCTTGCCAATAAAGTTATGGCCCTCGGAATAGTCAAACTTTTGATTTTTGACCGTTTTTTGAATCTTTTCATTTTTGTCTCGAAAACTGAACTCAAATCTGATATTGTGGGTTCAATGAAATAACGGTTAATGAGAAGCTCCTCTGCATTAGCTGACACTAACTAAAAGTTTTCCACAAGAAGTTATCGTTCTCTGAAAAGTCAGATTTTTGATTTTTTGATAGTTTTTAACTTTTGAAAATTCTTGAAAACTACCCTGTCTTACCTGAGGTTTTGGGTTCAATTCGCAGAACGGGTATCGAGAAGCTCATTTGCTTATGCTACTACGACCAAATGTTTTGACTCCAAAAGTTTTGCCTCTCGAAATATGTTTTCCCTTTCAAATATGAGTTTGTGGTTTCTATGAATTGAACTGTTTTGAAAAGCTCCTCTGCATAAGTGGCTACGACCGAATTTTTCTTGCCAATAAAGTTATGGCCCTCGGAATAGTCAAACTTTTGATTTTTGACCGTTTTTTGAATCTTTTCATTTTTGTCTCGAAAACTGAACTCAAATCTGATATTGTGGGTTCAATGAAATAACGGTTAATGAGAAGCTCCTCTGCATTAGCTGACACTAACTAAAAGTTTTCCACAAGAAGTTATCGTTCTCTGAAAAGTCAGATTTTTGATTTTTTGATAGTTTTTAACTTTTGAAAATTCTTGAAAACTACCCTGTCTTACCTGAGGTTTTGGGTTCAATTCGCAGAACGGGTATCGAGAAGCTCATTTGCTTATGCTACTACGACCAAATGTTTTGACTCCAAAAGTTTTGCCTCTCGAAATATGTTTTCCCTTTCAAATATGAGTTTGTGGTTTCTATGAATTGAACTGTTTTGAAAAGCTCCTCTGCATAAGTGGCTACGACCGAATTTTTCTTGCCAATAAAGTTATGGCCCTCGGAATAGTCAAACTTTTGATTTTTGACCGTTTTTTGAATCTTTTCATTTTTGTCTCGAAAACTGAACTCAAATCTGATATTGTGGGTTCAATGAAATAATGGTTAATGAGAAGCTCCTCTGCATTAGCTGACACTAACTAAAAGTTTTCCACAAGAAGTTATCGTTCTCTGAAAAGTCAGATTTTTGATTTTTTGATAGTTTTTAACTTTTGAAAATTCTTGAAAACTACCCTGTCTTACCTGAGGTTTTGGGTTCAATTCGCAGAACGGGTATCGAGAAGCTCATTTGCTTATGCTACTACGACCAAATGTTTTGACTCCAAAAGTTTTGCCTCTCGAAATATGTTTTCCCTTTCAAATATGAGTTTGTGGTTTCTATGAATTGAACTGTTTTGAAAAGCTCCTCTGCATAAGTGGCTACGACCGAATTTTTCTTGCCAATAAAGTTATGGCCCTCGGAATAGTCAAACTTTTGATTTTTGACAGTTTTTTGAATCTTTTCATTTTTGTCTCGAAAATTGAACTCAAATCTGATATTGTGGGTTCAATGAAATAACGGTTAATGAGAAGCTCCTCTGCATTAGCTGACACTAACTAAAAGTTTTCCACAAGAAGTTATCGTTCTCTGAAAAGTCAGATTTTTGATTTTTTGATAGTTTTTAACTTTTGAAAATTCTTGAAAACTACCCTGTCTTACCTGAGGTTTTGGGTTCAATTCGCAGAACGGGTATCGAGAAGCTCATTTGCTTATGCTACTACGACCAAATGTTTTGACTCCAAAAGTTTTGCCTCTCGAAATATGTTTTCCCTTTCAAATATGAGTTTGTGGTTTCTATGAATTGAACTGTTTTGAAAAGCTCCTCTGCATAAGTGGCTACGACCGAATTTTTCTTGCCAATAAAGTTATGGCCCTCGGAATAGTCAAACTTTTGATTTTTGACCGTTTTTTGAATCTTTTCATTTTTGTCTCGAAAACTGAACTCAAATCTGATATTGTGGGTTCAATGAAATAACGGTTAATGAGAAGCTCCTCTGCATTAGCTGACACTAACTAAAAGTTTTCCACAAGAAGTTATCGTTCTCTGAAAAGTCAGATTTTTGATTTTTTGATAGTTTTTAACTTTTGAAAATTCTTGAAAACTACCCTGTCTTACCTGAGGTTTTGGGTTCAATTCGCAGAACGGGTATCGAGAAGCTCATTTGCTTATGCTACTACGACCAAATGTTTTGACTCCAAAAGTTTTGCCTCTCGAAATATGTTTTCCCTTTCAAATATGAGTTTGTGGTTTCTATGAATTGAACTGTTTTGAAAAGCTCCTCTGCATAAGTGGCTACGACCGAATTTTTCTTGCCAATAAAGTTATGGCCCTCGGAATAGTCAAACTTTTGATTTTTGACCGTTTTTTGAATCTTTTCATTTTTGTCTCGAAAACTGAACTCAAATCTGATATTGTGGGTTCAATGAAATAACGGTTAATGAGAAGCTCCTCTGCATTAGCTGACACTAACTAAAAGTTTTCCACAAGAAGTTATCGTTCTCTGAAAAGTCAGATTTTTGATTTTTTGATAGTTTTTAACTTTTGAAAATTCTTGAAAACTACCCTGTCTTACCTGAGGTTTTGGGTTCAATTCGCAGAACGGGTATCGAGAAGCTCATTTGCTTATGCTACTACGACCAAATGTTTTGACTCCAAAAGTTTTGCCTCTCGAAATATGTTTTCCCTTTCAAATATGAGTTTGTGGTTTCTATGAATTGA